AAGGATTTTTGCATCTGTGTTCATAAAGGGTATTGACCTGTAGTTTTCGTTTCTTGTAATGCCTTCATCTGGCTTTGGTATCAAGACAGTGCTGACTTTATAGCATGAGTTTGAAAATGTTCTTTGCTCTTCAATTTTCTGGAAAAGTTTGAGAAGGACTACTGGTCTTTATAAATATTTGGTAGAATTCACCAGTGAAACCATAAAGTCCAAGGATTTTTTTTTCCAAGAGATTTTTGATTACTGATGTAGTCCCCTTACTAGTTTCTTCATATTTTCTCTTCATGACTCAATCTTGGTAGGTTTTGTTTTTCAGAGTTTTTCCATTTCACCTAGGTTATCTAATTTGTTGGTGTACATTTATTCATAGTATTCTCTTGTAATCTTTTTATTTCTGTAGAATCAGTAGTAATATCCCCACATTCATTTCTGATTTTAGTTATTTGACTCTTCTAGGATTTTTTTGTTAACTTAGCTAAAGACTGTCAATTTTAATGATCTTTTCAAAGAACCAACTTTTTGTTGCATTAATTTTCTGGTTTTCTATTTCATTTATCTCTGCTCTAAATTCTTTACTATTTCTTTCCTTCTGCTAGCTTTGGGTTTATTTTATTTATTTATTTTTTAGTCTTGAAGATAATAAAGTTAGGTTCTTGATGTGGGGTTTTTCTTCTCTTTCAATGTGTTCACAGTTATGAATTTCCCTCTTTGCACTGCTTTTGCTGCATCCTACAAGTTTTGGTATGTTGTATTTTCATTTGTCTCAAGATATTTTTTAATTTCCCTTGTGATTTCTTCTTTGAGCCGTTGGTTGTTACAAGAATGTGTTCAGTTTCCACAAATTCATGATCAGTTTTCTCTCTGTTACCAATTTTTAACTTCATCTGGCTATGATCAGCAAATATACTTTATACGGTACATCTTTAAATTTCTTGCAACTTAGTTTGTAACCTAACATGTAGCCTATTCTGCAACATGCTCTATGTGCACTAGAAGAATGTATATTCTGTTGTTGTTCAGTAGTGTTCTGTATGTACCTGTTAGATCTAGTTGGTTTACTGTGTTTGGAGCTTCAGTTTTCTTACTTCTTTCTTGTGTATCTATCCATTATTGAGAGTGGGATATTGAAATTTACAAATATTATTACAACTGTTTCTCCCTTCAGTTCTGTCAATTCTTCTTCATTTATTTTGATGTCATCTTATTAGATGCATAAATATTTGTTATAATCATTACATGTTCTATATTGACTTTTTATTAATATATAGTGTCCTTTATCTTATAAACTTTTTAAATTAAAATCTGTTTCATCTGATACCAGTATAGCTCCCCCTGCACCAGTGGTTACTGTTTGCATGGAGTATCTTCCATTCTTTGAATTTCAGATCTAAAGTGAGTCTTTTGTAGATGGCATATACTTGAATTGTTTTGTTTTTTGTTTTGTTTTAATCTGTTATGCCACTCTCCGTCTGTTGATTGGAAAGTTTAGCCATTTTCATTTGAAGTAGTTACTGATGAAGTGAGACTCCTGTCATTTCATTGTTTTCTATTTGCCTTATAGCTTTTTTGTCCCTCATTTTCTACATTACCATCTTCTTTTGTGTTTGTTGCCTTTGTATTGAAATGTTTTGATTTCCTTCTCATTGCCTCTTGTGTATATTGCAACTGTTCCTTTGTGATTGCTGTGGGAGTTAGATTACATTTGTGATATCCCAAAGTCATAACACTCTAATTTGAAATTATACCAGCTTACTGAGCAAGCTTTTTGAACCCCAGCTTCTTCATTTGTACAATATGAGAACCTGTTCTACCTACCTTAAAGGTTTTTTGTGAGGCTGAAACATGATAATCAGTGTTAAAGCTCCTTGTAAACAGTTGAACACATACACATTAACTATTATCATTATGTCCTCTTGTACTTGCAATTCCATTCTAGACTTGTAGCTGCATGCTTTAGCAGTTTTGAGTTGCAAGTAAGTATAGCAGTGTTTAACAACTCATTTTTAGCCAGACTGTCATAGAAATATAACAAGCCTATCTTCTGGATAATATTTTTTCCTCTTTAAAAACTCTTTGATACAGCAAGTATGTTTCAGAAACCTGCTGTCTTCAGTACACTCTGCTAAGGCATGTGAGAAAAGTATAAACCAGTCCTGCCTGCAGCAGCATAAAATCCATTTAGGGACAGGACCAGCACATGAGGAAACTTCTACAGCAGCCCAGGAGTGACCAGCATGTAGTAGACACAGTGGGACAGCCTCCAATTACTTGATCATGGGCCCATGGAGCAGGATAAAAGGGAGAGATATCTTAGAGGAAGTGGGGCTAAACTAGACTGGACATGGCAAATTGGAGGTGAGCTGCACAGGGAAACAGGAGCAAACTGTACAAAGGAACAGCATGAACAACTTGGGTAGGAATGGAGAGGGGTGCTCAGGGGATACATTTCTGAATAAGGAGCTGCAGAAGGCACATTGAAGTATACTCATTGTTCTTCATTTTGGAGACAGGGAAATTGAGGTTCAGAAAATGTTTCACCTGAGGTCACATATCTAGTTAGTGGTACAGTTGGTTCTGGAACTCTGCTGCATCTGTTGAGCCACAGGCCAGTGCTTTGTCTAAAATACCAGGGTTTCCCTTGGAACCTGGTTAGCCCTGGATGAATCACAGTGAGCCTTAGAACATTAAAATCCTTATGTAAAAGGATGATATTTTCATCATAGCACTGACGATTCTGTAAGAAGTTTTGAGACTTTCAAAGGTGAGGAATGAAAACCAAGCTGCCCCATGGTGCACATTAACATGGTGTGCCCTGCTGCAGTTGGTGAGGTAAGGCCTGCACTGCAGACCCCGGCATGGGGAGGCCCCATGCTGGGTTGCCAAGTGAAAGTGACCAGTAGCAGAGTGCTGCTGCAGGCCCTGTTGTGGAGAAACACCCCACCACTGTATTTCAGTCTCTACATGTATATGATGGCCCTTTTGTGGGGGTAGTTAGGGAGACTTAGCCTCTGTGAGGAGCTCTAGGTGGTTGCCCTTCCTGTGCCCACTGGTCATCAGAATGCCCTGCTTACTTCTGCACCACACATACCACCTGATGGGTTCCAGGGACCAGCCTCTTCTTGCCTGGCTGGCTTACAATTGTGTCAGCCTCACAGCCTGTTTACAAGGCAGGTAAAGAGCTCTGCACGTTAACTGTTTCATTGTTCCCTTAATCTTACAAGTTGTGTGTTACATGGATTTTTATGGAGATTCTGTGTCTGCATACGTCTCTTTGTTTTATTCTTAATACAATCAGGCAAGTTGTCAACATACTGACTTTATGGCATCCCAACACATATTTTAAGAACGTACTATGTTATGTGCTCTTCTCTGTATTTTGAGGGTGTGAGGGGGCTTAAGTTAAAAAATCAAATGAGGTCTCAGAGAGGAAAACCCTCTCAGTGTGAAGCACTGTCAGCAGGGTATGTCAGTGTAATGCAGAACCAGAGAGCTCTGATATGCTGGAGGAGCGAGCAGGTCCACCACTAACCTGCATGAGGCAGCGTAAGCTGATTCACAGTGGGAGTGGAGTGCAATCCTTATGTAAAAGGATGATATTTTCATCATAGCACTGACGATTCTGTAAGAAGTTTTGAGACTTTCAAAGGTGAGGAATGAAAACCAAGCTGCCCCATGGTGCACATTAACATGGTGTGCCCTGCTGCAGTTGGTGAGGTAAGGCCTGCACTGCAGACCCCGGCATGGGGAGGCCCCATGCTGGGTTGCCAAGTGAAAGTGACCAGTAGCAGAGTGCTGCTGCAGGCCCTGTTGTGGAGAAACACCCCACCACTGTATTTCAGTCTCTACATGTATATGATGGCCCTTTTGTGGGGGTAGTTAGGGAGACTTAGCCTCTGTGAGGAGCTCTAGGTGGTTGCCCTTCCTGTGCCCACTGGTCATCAGAATGCCCTGCTTACTTCTGCACCACACATACCACCTGATGGGTTCCAGGGACCAGCCTCTTCTTGCCTGGCTGGCTTACAATTGTGTCAGCCTCACAGCCTGTTTACAAGGCAGGTAAAGAGCTCTGCACGTTAACTGTTTCATTGTTCCCTTAATCTTACAAGTTGTGTGTTACATGGATTTTTATGGAGATTCTGTGTCTGCATACGTCTCTTTGTTTTATTCTTAATACAATCAGGCAAGTTGTCAACATACTGACTTTATGGCATCCCAACACATATTTTAAGAACGTACTATGTTATGTGCTCTTCTCTGTATTTTGAGGGTGTGAGGGGGCTTAAGTTAAAAAATCAAATGAGGTCTCAGAGAGGAAAACCCTCTCAGTGTGAAGCACTGTCAGCAGGGTATGTCAGTGTAATGCAGAACCAGAGAGCTCTGATATGCTGGAGGAGCGAGCAGGTCCACCACTAACCTGCATGAGGCAGCGTAAGCTGATTCACAGTGGGAGTGGAGTGCACAGGCATTGAAAGGAAGGAGGAAGCGCATTCAGATGAACAGATAGGGAGGCTGAGGAGGCAGCCTTCAAGATTGGTCTCAGATGCACCCATGTTTCCATAGACAGAAATGGTGGACAGAGGTGTGCTTTATGGAAGGAGCAGCATCAGCAAAAATGTGAAGGTTAGAAAACTTGACCTCTAACCTTGGCTCAACTACTTTATCCCTGTGGAGCACGGCCTCTCATCCTCCTTTTCCCATCAGCTTGGACGAGCCGTCGCCTGCAACCACCCCTCAATATACATTTCTCAGGAGCCCTTGTGGCCCACCTAGTCATACTTCCATTCTCTTGGTCATAACCCATTACCTTTCCGTGTCCTCCAGACACTGACCTCCTCCTTGCAGCTGTGTCCCTAGCACCTGGCAGTGAATGTTTGTATAATGAATTTCTCAATTAAGGGACATGCTGTTTTCTTATTGTCACCTGAGGGGTTTTTTGGTCCTATTTTCCACTTTCTACTTGCTTTTCCTACTGCTAATCCATTTGTATCTTCTCTTTCCAGATGAAGTTACTAAACCTATATATAAAGAGGGCCCAAACCACGAACAGCAACAGCAGCTCATCCTCCGACGTCTCCACACACAGCTAATGGCACCGCCAAGGTGTCTTCGTGTAGCCCTGGAAGCAGATGGTGGTGCCTCTCAGAGACCTCCTCCTTCCTCTCCCCTTCATCAGCTGCCCAGTCAGTACAAGGAGGCCCACAAATATTTATTACAATCAGTATTTTGGTCCCTTCCAGCTTTTGTGTAGAATCTTACTGTTATTGAATGTAAAGGAAGCAAGGCCTGTATTGTAGTCTTCACATGAAACAAAATGAATAAGAACAGAGCCATACTTAGCACATCTCACACAGCCTGCTGCAGCCATTAGCCATGTGTGTGAGGTGCGATTCCGGAAAATCAGAGCTCTCTCGCCGGTACTCATTAGCAAGTAGCATTTTCTCTTCAGTTAATGACCGATTTGAAGAGGGTGTGTTAATTTGTGTCTGTTTTTCATCTTAGCTTACTTTCCTAAGGATCTGGCCTGTGGGGCAGACTCCAGTTCCTTCCCAACTGATACCATGAAAGGGTTGTACATTCTCTAAGTTGTATTTTGAGCCCACTAAGAATGTGAATCCGATCTTGGCAGGAAATGGAGAAAAGCCTGAAGACAGTCTCTTAACAAACACGTGGAGTTTTGCTTTAATATTTAGACTGAGGGCTAACTGCTCTCACTTTTAGTTTAGAAGGGCACCCTCCATGTCTCCTTCCAGGACAGGCTTCCAGCCCCTCTGAACAACTCCACTGATGTTATCCCCACCCCAGAGCTGCCACTTAAAAGAATTCTTCAAGTTTAATAAATACAAACACAAAAGTCAAAATAGATTGATAGCATCACTTAGTAGATGCCTAAAATGGCATTTCATGAAGCATAGAAGATACAGAGCAGTCTAACTACTCAGATCTCGGGGAGACACTGCTTTAGCAAGGCCCCTTCCGCCCCAGCTCATGGTGATCAGACGGGGCACCACCTTTTCCCCTCCTCCCCCCTTTGCCTAAGCTGCTCAGCTCTCAGTGTTCTCATCAGTCTGGTAAATGGCAACCCTACCATCCCAGTTTCGGCTTTTAAGATCAAAGAAAAGTCTAGAGAGAGCCAGTATCAGGATCATTTTTTATTAATTTTGTAGACTGAAGTACTTCCTTCATCACCTGTTGAAATAGTCCTTGTTTGAGTAAAAAGTTATTACGGTGAGTGGCAAATTGCAGAAAAAGAGGATTTGAAACATAGTTTTAGAGTTTGTTTCCTTTTTTTCAATGAGAAATTACCTGAGAAACTACCCCTTTAAAAAATTTATTAAGGGCTTGATTACTCCAATAAGAGTAAGTAGATTTGGAGTCTGGTTAACTAAGTTTTGAGTAAAATTCTTAAAGCCAAATGGAAAATACAATAAGAAACTGCTTACTGTGCTGTTTTAGATTCTTTAAATTGAGCTGATTTTTCCGCAAGGAAATGCCTATTCTGATGTTAATTTTTAATGAGATGTTTGTTCCCATGCAAAGGCCCTACTGCTGCTCCCTGAAAAGCAGAGACTGTGTGGTTCTTCCCACTGATCTCCACAGACTCCCTCTTCTTTGACCCTGCAGCTTTTTGATGTTGGAAGTTGTAAAAAAAAATATATAGAAAACATAACTTTCCTTCAGAATTTATTTTAGATACTTCGTTTGGAAATAGGCACTGAAAATGAAGGTCCAGGAACAGTGAGGCCAGGGTGCCTTCACTGAGGGAGGTGTGTGCTTGTGTGCATGTCCCGCCAGGGTAGGAGTATCTTGCACATGTAGGAAGTACCTCGTTGCTGCTGTTAGGGGAACTTCAGGGGTGCATTTTAAGTTGTTAAATATTATTGACTTATTTTTAGCTCAAAACATAGCAGAACCAGGCCTTACTTTTGTTGATAGGTACCATTTGTTTGTTAATGTTTCACTAATGGGATTTCCTTTTTACTCTGTACAAATGAATCAGAGCACCTTCGGATTACTCCTGTGTTGTATAAGCGTGCACTCTGGCTAGGTTATTGATGAGTTCTTTTATGCCTAATGCATTTAAAAAGGCCTCCCTTCTTCAACTCGTTGACTCACCGTCTCCATGATCTGTAGTTGGGAAGAACCTTGACCATTGCCAGATACCCTCATAGTACTCACAGAGGGCTAGCCTTGAAGGTCATTCGCCTGGCCTTCAACCTCCTGACTTAGAGATACAATCACTCACAGGTCTGTTGGCCTCAATCAGAACTGCTGCCTGCTGCCTCCACCTCCCTGCAGGGCTCCTGTCTGGATGAAACACCACAAAAGAGCAAAGCAACCAAAACTGTTTGCTTCCCTGTGCACCTGATGGTCCAGGGCACCCAAAATTCACCCGACCCCATGGACAAGGTGGGACAGCTGCTCCCACTTACCCTCAAGCTACTGCCATCTCTGTTGAAGCCCCCATGCATCCCACAGGTGTAGGCCAAGATGCGGCTCCCTGCAAGAGCACTAGTGCACTAGTGCACTAGTGTGCTTCTCCGGACCCAGTGCCCGCAGCCTGCCCTGGGGCTGCCTTTCTCTGGCTCATCCTTAGCTTCTCATACCCTGTGCAGGTAATGCAACTGATTTCTATCTCATGCATCTTTTTCTTTCCCTGCCACCCTTTATTTATCAAGCATAATATTACACATCAAAGAACAGCAAATAAGAACTTGTAGAATCCCACCAGGACTTTGCTAACAGTGATGTTTGGAGATAACAAACAAAATGCTCTGAAAAATATTGGCTACCAAAATAGTTCTGTCAGCACTGTGTTTGCATGGACCCCACATCCCCAGGTTGGATTTTTGTTTTTTGTTTTTGTTTTTTTTGGGATTTTTCATGTCACATCCATATCTGTATTTATATCTCATTTGTTTCACTTTCAAGTGTATCATGGCAAATGTACAGACTTTTTTTGTTAATAATGTGCTAGGATTTGCTAAAAAAGAAAACACAAAAAAAGTCCTTTTGAGTTTGCCCTAGAATAAATGAAACAATTCATCTTCTTGCATCAGAACAGTCTTTTTTGTCACCACACCCCATAGATAGGCTGTCACATCTCCCTAGCATCAGCACACGGCCACATTTATAAAAACCCTAAGGCGTCCACATTGAGGAGGAGCACTGTCTCCTCATGAAATAATCAGGGCTAGGGAAGTGTCCTGGCCTGGGTGCCCCCAGGAGCTGCTGCTGCTCAGTGTGCAGTGGAAAGGTTGGGAGTAACGATTCCTAATATGCTGTAGTAGCAAGGGACCACCCTTGTCTGAGCAGTGAGAACATTGTCTTCGAGGAATTCTGAGAATGACCTGATAGCTAAGAGTAGACAGGTCAGTCGGACCTAGGGGATGGCTCTGGAGCGTGTGCTTAGGAGGAACCTGTGCATAGCACCAAGGACACAAACCCACTGCTTTGAAGCCTTACCTGTATTTAAATGGGATTTTTTTTTTTAGTTTTCCATCATGTTCCATGATGTATCTCAAATATCACTGCCCTGTGACTGTGAGCCCCTTCCCCCTGTGGCCCACCATCTCCTACCCAATTGACATGCCCCCTCCTTGGGCAAGTCACATAACTTCCTGCCTTGGACTTTACATGTGTAAACTGGAATGAAAAGAACCTCAGGGAGGTGCTGTGAGAATTAATTGAGATGATGTAGGTAAAGCCCCTGCCCTTCCTCATGCCTGTGGAGTGGGAAACGGGAAGGTGAGGTCAGCCCCAAGCCTGCATGTAGTCAGCATGTTACTCATTAGCAAGTGTGGGAAACCCCCAGCGATGGACCATGTGCAAACAGGCAGGCAGCACAGCTTTCTATATTTGGATCTGTAACCCCTGGTACCATTGCCCTTCCTTATTCCAGGGCAGCCAAGAAGTCCTTACCATCTTGAAGAGGGTCCCAGGCTGTGGTTGTGGGGGTAGGCAGAAGAGAGGCCCACTGAGATCAGCATTTCTTGGCTTTGGGAATCTGAATGGGCTTTTCTCCAGAAAAATTGCACATTTTCATTCAGTTTTGCACTCAGAGAAGCTTCTGGGATCCCAGGAAGCTATGCAGGGTTTCTAGGGTGAAAAACTGACTTAATGACCACTGCTTTTGATGTTCTTGGATCATTAATGAAGACAGGAAAGGGTGGTTGATGGACATTAATACCATTTGTGAGGCACTTAGACTTTTGAAAAATTCTCATCTGTGGCATCTTACTGATTTTACACCAATCCTGAGATGCAGACAAGGGACCTGCTATCTTGGGCAAACTGGATACATGGTCCCTTGGGCAGAAAGCTCCCTGCTTGGGGGAAGGCTCTCTCTGCAGAGCCTTAGCCCAAACTCTACCTGGCCTTTCCATTTCCTCCAGTATTTATTAACTCATACTAAAGTGGCTCCAGGCAAGAACGGACAAAGGTCATGTGAATGGGCATCTAATTCCACATTATGTATTTAAAAACATTAAAATGCTTCCACACCAGTGCCCTCAGACATGAGGCCTGCTGCCAGCACTGAGGCTTAGAAGGTTGACTTGGGCTCTGGAGGGATAGCATTCCTGGGTAAAGACCCAGCAGTTCTGGGATGCCCCTGCCACCCCCACAGCAGGGTTTGGGCTGTGTGCCTCCACAGCCACCTCTGCCTCGGGGGCGGGGTGGGGGTGCTTGGAAGACTCCCTGGTGTCTCCAATACCAACACCCAGTCAGTGTCTCTCTGGGCTCCTGCTTCCCTGATCTGCAGGCCTGCCAGTTCCACACTGGACATTGCCACATCCTTCAGTGATAACTGTGATACTGGATGCTTGCTGTGTGCAAGGCTCTGTTCCAGGACTCCACTGAGTTATCTGGTTTAATCTTCATAACAGCCCTATGACGTTTGTCTGATTGTTCTCATTTTACAGATAGAAGACTGAAGGGAGGTTAAACTTGCCCAGGGTCATAGAACTGACAAAAGGCAGAGCTGGGGTTCAAACCCAGGACGTCTAGATTGTACCGGTCTCATCTTGTGCCTCTGTCCCATCTCTGAGTCTCTGTTCTATTTCCCATCTGCCTAACTCTTGTGAGCAAGTTTGGGTGGTCCTTGTCACAGGCCTGCTGAGCTGTTTGACCACGTGCTCATGGCAGCGTGGTTCTGGAGTACCCTGGGATATACTCACCAGGTCTCGCAAGGGGGAAGGACCCTCTTTGGTACAAGAAGTCTGGGTCTGGAATCCAACTCTGTTTTGGGGTCTATGACTTTAGCCCAAATGACTCCAGCTTAGGATGACCTGTTTCTTCCTCCGTGAAATCCTAGGGTGGGGCACTGTGAGTTTGGTGGGATTCCAGCTCCCAGCAGCATCTCCTCTTCTTGCCAGTTCTGGTGCTTCTTGGCAATCCTCTCCATCCTCTCCATAGGGTACCATTCCCCGCAACACCTTCCCACACCTGCTGGGTCCTGACAGCCAGGTTTTATCTCCTTTGAGCTCCAGACTCACAAACCTGACTGGTGTCTTGATCTCTCCACATGAACAATCTCATGGGCCACTCAAGTGGAGGATTTCCACAGTCAGACTTTTGAGCTGGTCTCCCATTTTGGAAAATGGTAGCTCCACTCACCCAGATGCCAGTGCCAGGCTCCTTGCCTTATCTTCCATGGTCTCCTTCAGCTACCTGCTCCCCAAGCCTGTGACCTCCACCTCCAAAGTGGGTCTTAACTCCTTGGCTCTCTTGCCCCTCATGACCTCCACTAGCCCAGGCCTTCTCTCTCAGTTGCATGGCTGTAGACGGGCTGCTCAGTCTTGCTTCCCCTCTACACTCCTGAAGGTGCACTGTGGCTTCTTCTTGTTTTTAAATGCTCATCCCTTCACTTGAAACTGCAGTGGCCACACACACACACACACACCCCTATGCACACGCCTCTCATCTAACTTGTACAGACTCTAGGTCTCAGCTTAATTGACAGCTCATTACTTCTTTGGAAAAGAATCTAAATTATTCCCTTTACTATTTTTGCCAAACATGTATCACACATTTTATAACTGTTACATGATGATTTGTCTGTTTTGCCTATATCATGGATAAGAACTGGGCCTCATTTGTCTATATTCCTAACACTGCGCCCACATGACTGGCCCACAGTAGATCATACCAAAACAAGATAGCCCACAGGAGCCCTGAGAAGAGGACAGATAAAGACTTGTGGAATATTAATATAATGAGATCCAGTACAGAAGTGAAGATGAATGACCTACAGTTGCCATTTATCAACACAGATGAATCTTAGAAATACCATTCAAGGAAAGAGAGAGCCATGGAATAATGTGTAGAGTGTCATACCACTTTTTTAAAGGTGAAAATAACCAAAACTAAATAACCGTGTGTCTTCTATAGCCACGTATGTTGTGGTAAAACCCAAAAGGGTAAGTAGATATGAAACAAATGTAGAAGAGTACTTGTTTGCTTTGGAAGTCAGGTGTCAACAATCCAGCACTAACAAAACCAGACCAATAAAATAGTATTAAGAACTGGTTATGCACAAAAGTTCACAAATTGGGAGCTTTCAAACCCAAAACTAATATACAGCTCAGAGGCTTATATGGTGGAAATGCTGTTAGAGCTTGGCAATTGGTTATTACAGTAGGGGTTTTGAGGCATCAGGATTGGTTAGCAGTGATTATTTCATGCCATTTTAGGAAGGCATCTTTATGATTACCGGACTGACATGTTTTTATTAAGTTTTTTCACTTATGTTTGTGAAGTAAGCTAAATTTAGTTTTGCTTACACAGCTTACATAGTTTTGTGTGCTCGGAATTTTCAAGTTTGGTCTCCATTTTGTATTTTGCTTTAATATGAGGCAATAGAATAAGGAGGAACAGACAGCTCAGCTCAGTTAAGTGATGATGATGCTCTGGCTCATAATTTGGGTGGTGGGTTCATGGGTGTTCATTTTATTTTTACAGGTCATAATAGATATGTATTTTTCTTTTATATTAAGTACTTCATAACTTTTTAAAAGTTATGTGTGAGAATACTGTTATATGGTGATTCAGATGAATGTCCTATTAGTTTTTTGGATTATCATAGACATAGAAACCCCCAAATTTTTAACTCTTTGACAAAATTTTCAGACCCTGAGAATACATCTGTGGACCACCATTCAATGAATGCCATGCTACATGACACCATCCAGTGTCCTAACAGGCCTGTGTCTGAGGGGACAGCCTTAGTATAGGATACCATCACCCTTTACAGGAACCCTTTCTGCACATGGCAGTGGGGCAGGGGTGAGTACAGAGGATCTTCCCAGCACCAGTTTCCCCAGCCCCCTTAGGCCTCTAGATAGAGAGGCACAGTTCCCTTTGGTTTCTGTTCCTGCTCAGCTCACTCCTCTCCCCCCTGGTCCTTATATTAACCATATTGTTACTGATCACAAAGGGTCCTGCTTTGTTAGCCAAGTCAGGTCCCTTATACTCTGTGTGAGACATTTTCCAAAAAGATGGGAAAGAGACCCTGAGAGAGACATAACCAGAGTGGGAAGTGCACAGGGAGATGGCTGCTTTAGAAACATATCACAAAAGAGAGGTGTTGAGTCTGGAGAGGACTGGCTTGCTTGACCCCTTTCCCAATCCTCCTAGCCATGCCTTACTCTACTTCTGAGCCAAACTCTGTTGATGCTGGCTTCCATATGTGAATAGGTTTTGCCACAGAGATGTTCCTCACAAGATGGGAAGCAGCTTTTACTGAGCATAGATACAACAGTGGTGACATTTGGTTCTTGGGGGACAGCTCAGATACAAGTTACAGTTTGTTCACAGTGTCGTAGCTACCAAGCAGCAGAGGAAGCATCAAGTTTTGTCTGCTTATCTGGAAGGGGATTTTTGCCTGTCTGCTGTTATCCTAGTGAGTGGCACCCAGCCTGGTCTCCTGGCTCTCCTGAAGATAAGGTCCACTACAAGGCTCTTTGTAGGAAACTAACTGGAGGAGACTCCATCATTCATAATGGAGAACCCTGAGCAGCAGTGAGAGTGAACCCAAAACATCCAGCTGAAGATAAA